ATATTCAAGCCCCGCCTGGACAAGGGCCTGTGCAGCCTGCTGTAGGTGACCCTGCTTTGGCAGGGGGGTTGGACTGGATGATCCGCAGAGGTCCCTTCCAACCCCTACAATTCTGTGATTCTGTGAAAAGGTTAAAAATTACAGGATGATGAATAGTTAACAATACATATCATCAACTGAAAAGAAGCAGTGTATCTTAATGTCCAAGCAACACATCAAAACATCAGGACCTCGGCGAGAAAAGTTCAACTGTTTATGTTAGCACAGTCTATAGATCTACGCTGTTTTGCATCAGTTAATAACCCTGCCTATAATGTCTGCTCCAATCTACAAAAAAATTCCTAGCACTTGCCCAAGCAAATACTTGCCCAAAACTGGACACATGTGAGTGTTGACAAAAACTTAAGGTGAGGTCTAAAAATCACTTGAGGGTTAGTAGTTCATTTTTTCACTTCGGCATTTAGACTTATAAGTTTAAGTGGGCAATTTACACAAGTCCTGACAACTCAGGCACCTGGAAGTTTCACAGGTGCCAACAGTCTGTCCTACAGTTATCTAAGTGACTAAACTGCTGTGCCTGCACATGCTCAGAGGTTGAAATTTCTTTACTAAGCCAAATGTTTAGACTTCTTTCTTGACTAAATCTGTCTGAAACTTAGAAATGAAGCACTATTAAATCCAAGTCTTCTGTGATGCCTCATATTTTTGCCTCTGAGCACATCCACCACACACAAAAAGAAACCAAGTCACACAAAAGCTCAGTTCACGGGATCACAGAACAACTGAGGCTGGCAGGCACCTCCTGAGGTCATCTTGTCCAACCATTGCTCAGAGCAGGGTCACCTAGCACAGCGTGCCCATGACACTTATAGTTGAGTGCACAGTTGAGTGTTGAACATCTCCAGGGACAGAGACTCCATAACTTCTCTAGGCACCCTGTGCCAGTACTCAGTCACTGTTAAGAGTTTAAAAAAAAAAAAAAAAAAAGCTTTTCCTGATGTTTAAACACAATTTCTTGTATTTCAGTTTGTGTCCCCCAGCCTCTTGTCCTGTCACTGGACACCACAGAGGAGAGTCTGGCTCTGTCTTCCTCACTCCCTCCACTAGTATTTACACATACTGGTAAGGTCTTCCCTGAGCCTTCTCTTTTCCAGGGTGAACAATCCATGCTCTAGGCTCTCTCGGGCCTCAGCCCAAGCTGCACAGCCTACACACACACAAACAAGTCCTCAGCGAACAGCTCCTCTGGCAGCCTCACTTTTCCTGTGGCAGCCTTATTGCAGCCTAACTTCACGTGGAGGTGGGGGCTTTGTCTCTCTCCCATCTCTAACCCTAAGTCCAAGCCATTACATGTGCTGAGCCTTAGCCCAAGCTCCACAGCCTTAGGGCTGATGAAGTCAGGGCAAAACCCTTTTAGCAGCCTAACCTTGTGAGTCTTGTATGACATCGTGCTTGCTTCAGCAGCACATGTACCAAAATTGGAACAATACAGAGCAGATTAGCATATCCCCTGTGCAAGGATGACATGCAAATTCATGAAGCATTCCATATTATTTTAAGGATCTGGGGTGCTGGTTGACAGCAAGCTCAATATGAGCCAGCAGTGTGCCCTGGCAGCCAGAAGAGCAAACTGCATCCTGGGGTGCATCAAACACAGCATAACCAGCTGGTCAAAAGAGGGGATTATCCCGCTGTATTCAGCATTGGTGTGGTCTCAACTTGAGGGCAACAAAGATGTTGAAAGGACTGGAAGGAATGTGCTATGAGGAGCAGCTAAGGACTTTCGGTTTGTCTAATTTGGAGAAAAGGAGGTTGAGAGGCGACCTCATTGCTCTCTGCAGCTTCCTGAGGAGGGGAAGTAGTGAGGGAGGTGCTGATCTCTTCTCCCTGGTATCCAGTGACAGGACGCGTGGGAATGGCTCAAAGCTGCACCAGGGGAGGTTTAGAATGGACATTCGGAAGCATTTCTTTACTGAGGCGGTGGTCAAACACTGGAACATGCTTCCTAGAGAAGTGGTCGATGCACCAAGCCTGTCACTGTTTCAGAGGCATTTGGAGAATGCCCTTAACATGCTTTAACTTTTGGTCAGCCCTGAACTGGTCAGGCAGTTGAACTAGATGATCATTGTAGGTCCCTTTCAACTCAAACAGTCTATTCCATTTTATATATAGTCCAATTCCTTTAATCATCTTAGTGGCTCATAGTCACTAAAACAGCTTTGTTTCAAAACATTGTTTGACAACTTGACTTCTCCAATTGTCTAGCAGTTCAGATGTTTGTCCAGAAGTCCAAAAGCTGATCTCTACCCTACTCAGTCTAGCAGGGGATGTTGTGGAGGTAAAAACTCATAACCTTCACTCCCTAGATGAGTGCCATTGCTATAAGGCAGGGTTACACATAACAAACTATAAGTCCATAACCTACCACAGGGGGTATTTGCCCCTCTGTGGAGCTGTGTAACTGAAATTGAAGAAATTCATACTATAGTCACGGGGCCAGAATAAATACCAACTTGTTTACCCTTCTCTCAGAAGAAAGATGTTCTGAACACTGGACCCTGCTCCTCAAAGTGGTTTGGATTCTATCCAGTAACTCCTAGTAACAAATGCATGGTGTATGGAGCACAGCTAGCATTCACACCACTTTCCTTCTGAAGTCAGAAACCACAAACATGAAAACTGAACAATTCCCTCAGTCCTTTTAGCAGAATTCCTAGGAAGTGGCTGGGTTTTCTCAGAAGAGCTCTGCTCTGTTTCTTCACTGTAATAGTTTGCAGACACCTTCCTTCTCAGTAGTCAAATGCATTTTCAAGACAAATATAAACAAGCACTCCTATTATTTATCATCATATATGGAAAGACATCACATGTTTGTTGTCCATTTGCCACTTTCCCACCTGATACAAATCCTGAGTAAACACTGGTGGGTTATCATTGACATCCAAAACAAGGATGGTGAGCTCTGCTTCTGTTTGATGTACAGAATCTGAAACTATGATTCTCAGGTTAAACACCGCAGTTTCTTCAAAATCTAATGGTTCCACCACTGTGACTACACCGGTGTGTTGATCGATGTCAAATTTCATTCCAGGACTATTACCATAAATAAAACCAAATTGAAGTGCTGGCCTGGAGTCCACATCACTTGCTGACACCCGAGTCACTATAAAACCAGGCAGGGCATCTGAAACAATAATTATCAGAATAAGTCATAGCTAAAAGATTATGTTAGAATTTCTGAAGATTTTGCCAATTTTGTAATAATGAATCTTAGATATATGTAATCTTTATTAGCTTTTGGTGTATTTTGACTTTGTGTTTTAGAACAAGAACAATATCCAGAAATGCTATGGAAACAGTAATGGATTTCTTCAAATGCATCTGCTTTATCCCAGTTTTAGTTTGGATTTTCTTTAGACTTTCCCAGATCCAGTGTAGCCATAACTGCTTCTTCACCAGCAGCAGGAACTTTCATGGGTTTCCACAAGCATTTAGGTGACATGAATTTATTGAACAGTGTCACAAACTTCCACAAGAATATTTAAGTGAGGCATCAGAGTCCCCTGGTCTGTGTAGAACCAGCAAATGCAATTCTGAAGCTTTTCCAAAGGAGAAGGCCACTAGAGAGAAACGAGACCTCCAGCCATACCTACAAGGCACAAAAATCTTAAGAGCTCAAGGCATAGTCCTATGAGATTGAGAAACTGGATACAGACAGCTTTTGTCATGTGCCAGACTGACAGCACCAGGGATTGCAAACTGAACCTATTAGTGATCATCTAACAAAGCCTGGAGCAAACAGAAACTAATCCGTTTCCCATTTGCATGCCTGAGACATTAAGCCTCAAAAATGCTGTGCAATGTCCTAAAGCAAGTGTTCTTAAACAGAATACAAAAACCTAAATAAGTAGCCAGTACCTTACAGCAGCTGTGCATCCACAAGTCCCATATTTGTCATTACCAGTGGGAGCTAAATTTAGGAAAGGCTAAAAAATATAACTAGAAAGACAGCCTTGATATCTTTTGTTAGCAGGAGTACTGGAATTTCAGCACCTAGATCTTTATAAAATTTTCTGCTGTATATCTTAGTCATTCACACGTATGATGCCTGTATTTGAAAATGCTGGGCTTAAGACTCAAGGTTGGCAAATGCTTAGCAAATGTTACATAACATACCAGATGTATGTTGGGATGAGAACTCAGGAGGTCCTGGGTCCTCCTCTTCAGGGTCATCAACTGGATCAAGCTATAGAGCATTTTAAAGCTTCACTCAAATTTACAGAAATCATTTCTTTCATCACACTGAAGTTCAAAATGTCTCATTTCTAGCAATGTTGGTTTTAACACCAAGTATTTTTACTGGAGAAAAGCAGAAATTTAAGACATCTGAAGAATATGACACTGGAGTCCAAAATGAACAGATTACAGATTTATTTCTGCCGAGTTTGTTTTCCTCTTTCTTAATTGCCCATGGTTTTGTTCCAAACTATTCTTAAACACAATGTCTAAAGATTAAGAATAATGACTCTGAGAACAAAAGCAGATCACAATTTACTTTGATATTTCAGTATTAATACAGTCCATTATCCTTTTTACTACAGTTGCTTGGTTACACAAATCACCAAAAGCACTATCATTGTCTGGCAAATCCCAATCTTAACAAAGTTTAGCTGTACTATCACACTTACCTTCTCGGACTTCCACTTCACCTAGTGGTTGGACAACTGGAGGATTGTCATTAACATCTAACACCTGTACCCTCACAATACTCGTAGCAGAAAGTCTGGGATTTCCTTTATCAGCAGCTTGCACAACCAACCTAGAATTAAAAAAAGCAGTAATTGTCACTATTGGTCAGAAAACACCACATTACTCACCAATGTTATAAGCAGGGGGAAAATTACAAACAAAAAGATTTACTCTTTCTGCTCCCCATTACAACTCTTGAATTCCATCTTTCTCTGCCCAGGGTTAACTATCTGGCATTTTATTTTATGTGTCTTGCAATAAAAATGTCCAGGAGATTCTAGGCGACAAAAACATAACAAAATCTCACAAAGAAAAGGAAGTAGTGATCTATATTCACTTCACCCAATTTCATACCAAACATAGGTGGTTAAAAAAGCTAGCAAGACTCTTTCAAATAAGAGTTCTTTTCTCCAGGTGGTAATTCAGAGTAGGAATTAAAACTTCAGAACTAAATTTTCTTTTGGAGGAACCTGACTCTCGTCATTATTTATAAAGGGACAACGGGAATGTGAAAATTTGGTAATATGAAAACATCCAAATTAATATTCAGCCAAAATGTCTGCAGAGGCACAGAATAGCACCATTATTATATTATAAATCATAGAATCATAGAAAGTTTTGTGGCGGAAGGGACCCCTAGAGGTCATCTAGTCCAACCGCCCCACCGGTAACTAGATCAGGTTGCTCAGAGCCCTGTCCAAACTGGTCTTGAATGTTTCCAGGGATGGGGCCTCCACTACCTCTCTGGGCAACCCGTTCCAGTGTTTCACAGCCCTCATTGTAAAGAATTTCTTCCTTATATCTAGCCTAAACCTACCCTGTTTTAGTTTAAAACCATTACCCCTCATCCTGTCACTGCTGTCTCTGCTAAAAAGATTGTCCCCATCTTTCCTATAGGCTCCCTTTAAGTACTGAAAGGCTGCAATCAGGTCTCCC